AGCCCAGAAAACAAAAACTGGGGAAAAAACGAGGTGTCCATAAATTGGGCTAACAAGTAAGGTGAAGGGTTGCCTAACATGGAAGACTGGAACAAGTTCAAGGAAATTCCCAAAATTATTGTTGAGAAAACGTTTTGGCGTAGACAAAATTATTGTAAACAACAATAATCTCTAATTTGGGGGGATTTTGTTGAACTTGTTCAAGTCCCCACGTTACCCTTCCCGTAGTAGCCCAATTTACGGACACCACATTTTCTCCCTTTTTTTGGTCTTTTGGGCCAAACATCAAGATGATATCAATTTTCACATGATTTCCCACTTATTTTTGTTAGGTTAACTATGTCAGTAAGTACCTTTGTGAATTTGAAGCTCATCAATACCCACGTTTGGCGAGACTAGTTGATGATATCTGAGGAAAAGGTAAATGCGCGTAACTTTAGGGTAAAATAGTAGCCATTTTGGTGATTGACTATGTCCTCTTAAAGGGAGTATACATCATTTGCTTTTGCTGTAATTTTCAGAAATGGATGGAATTGGGGGTTGGAAAATATAGCAAATATAGTTACACTGACTTTTTGGAGTTTTGGGTTCGAAAATGCTATAAAAACCAAGAAAAACGATCATTTTCCTGTAGTCTGGTTCCCTGACTCCATATAAGAAGAAACAGAGCAGTTTACATACATTGGGGAATTGTAAGGTCAGGGAACCAGCCTAGCTGGCCCGTACCCGTTCATAGGTTTGTAATCGATTGCAAACAGGTGCAATGGTCAATTGGGCCAGTATTTGAAAAAAAGCCAGTTGTTTCCAACGCTGATCGGCCGATCAGCGTTGGAAATTGATACAAAATACCACTTTTCTTGAAAATGACAGTATACCAGGTGCCATAATTTTACAGGATGCTTTAAACTGTCATTTACCAACATCCTATTAAGGTATTTCGCAAAAACTTGGTAGTTTTATTTTTCGATGTTTGCAAATGTTGTATATTCCCTTTAATTATTCAGTCACTTACATGCTTTACAAAATGTTATTGAAGTAAGAATATGCAAGTAGAATCACCAAAATACACTTTTCAAAAAATAAAAAAATAAAAATATACCCAAATATGGGGAAAATATATTACACGGCAGGGATTAACGATTTATGCAAATTAGGCACCCTTCCCAAAAGAATTTCACGTGTCACCGGCCCCTTCTAAATATCTTCTCTAGGTCTATAAAAATCTATCTGCCAAGTTTGGTGCTTTGGACCAGTCGGTCACGATTCCGACCATATGCCACCTGACTATGAAGAATTTCATAAGGGTAACAGTTATAGCTCAGTGAATACCCTACATAGTGCCACTTCGGCAATCGTAGTTCCGATAGATGGGAGTCCTATTGGGGATCCTATTGGATCACATCCATTGGTTAAAAGATTCATGACTCATGAATCTTTTAACCAATGGATGTGATCCAATAGGATTGACAGGTGTGTTTAATTTGAGACCTGCTATGCCCAAATATAATTTTACTTGGGACGTAAATATTGTTTTCAAGTACCTAAAAGAATTAGGTCCTGGATAAAAGTTGCCCTTAAAAGGGCTTACAATGAAACTTGTTATGTTGATTGCATTGATTTCAGGACAAATGTGTCGAACATTATCTTTGCTTGATTTAGATCAGGTCAATGTCACTCGAAGCAATGTGACTTTTGTTGTTACATGTACTAAGTTAACAAAGACCAGTAGAGTTGGCAGTAAGCCAATAAGTGTGGTGCTGTCAGAGTACCCGCACGATGAACACCTATGTGTTATAAAAACACTTAGAGAGTATCTGATTAAAACTAGAACTTTCCGAGGACGCGAAAGGAGTTTGTTTTTGAGTTATACTTCCCCTCACAAGCGTGTAGGGTCCGAGACAATTTCTCGTTGGATCAAGATGACACTGCAAGATGCAGGTATTGACATAGGTAGATTCAAGGCTCATAGTACTAGATCTGCTGCATGTAGTGCAGCTTTGCAAAGGGGAGTTCCCCTGGATGTCATAATGACTACTGCCCAATGGGCAAGGAGTAGAACTTTTGCTAAATTTTATAATAAAACTTTGTACCAGCAAGTCAGAAGTTTGCTGACGCTGTTCTGAGTTGTGAAGCAAAATAGGCTTCGAAATTTTGTTTTCTGAATAAATATACAGAAACATCAAAAATGAATTGTTTATTGTACGACTCTTTTTGTCGTTTGTTGCCCGTTGCATTCATGGGCTCTAAATTTCTCATGTAAGTCCGAAGTGGAGGTGATTATGAGGTAGAATTTAAAAATCAAACGAATGAAATGAAGTTTAATTAGAATTCTACCGATTAAATCACCGACACTGAAGGACTTACACCCTCCACAATTGGTATGTATGTACTGCTAACATGCATTCCCCACCCCTTTTATATGCACCGGGCATTTTCATTAAAATGTATTGAGGCGTGCAGGCAGGGCGTGGTGGCCCTTTATAGGGAAGAGAGTCTATTCAAAATCTCTCAACCGTGACTAATCCTCCGGTGGAAAGTGTAATCTCATGTAAGTCCTTCAGTGTCGGTGATTTAATCGGTAGAATTCTAATTAAACTTCATTTCATTCGTTTAATTTTTAAATTACACTCCAACAGACAGATCCAAAAAAATACATCACCAGTTCACATCACAAACTTTGAAATAATAGTGTGACAAAAGATAAAACTTGGATGACTAAAACGGACGAAGATGAAACTCGATTTAAAACAGTGATCCAGCACAAATTTTAAAAAGGGAGTGGCAGCTACAAACAGCGCTGCTTTAGGGGAATGCCTTTAGGGGAAGAAAATCCAAATCCAGTCTGGGTCCACAATTAAGGAAACACCTGTAATCTGCTCATCAAACCGAAGCGAACCATTTTTTAAAGTAAGTTTCTGGATTTAGATCAGTACTGTACAAACCATCGTCCTAATGGAGGGGATGCATGGGCATCTCGTGAATAATTTGACTAAACGTGCTTTTCTCAAACATGCTGAACAAGAATAAATTTTCACGACAATCCATTATTTATGCATTGCTTAAGTCAATGATCTAGACCTTGTTGCTACAGCTTTGGATGAACATGTAATGGTGATAACATGAGCACACAGTTTGCGTCCTTGCAAGTTTTAAGCAGTGGGTATCCAGGTTTGGGGTTGAGGCGTGAACAAGGGTAATTTGGTTTTTGAAAAGTGGCCCAATTTGAGCCCTCTCCCCTCCTTAAAAACCCTCCTGCTATTTAAACAGTCGAAGACAGTCAAACTTTCCATCCACTTCCCCTGCTATACTTTTAACACTAGAGGCTAGTGACGAGTCACCAGCAGTCAGATCATACGTCAAGCAAGCACAGTCAAAGCAAAGCTGTATCAAGGTTACATTTCCCAGCCAGTCAACCCTGCTTTATGTAGGCTGGGAGTTCTTAACAGTTGAATACAGTCACTTGATTGATTTTGAATGAAAGGTACGAAAGCCCATTAGCGCCACTGCAAGTATATATGTTGCGGATTATTTAATTCGTTATTACGGATTATTAATTCGTTATTACGGATTACTAATTCGTTATTACGGATTATTAATTCGTTATTACGGATTATTTAATTCGTTATTACGGATTACTAATTCGTTATAACGGATTATTTAATTCGTTATAACGGATTATTAATTCGTTATTACGGATTATTAATTCGTTATTACGGATTATTAATTCGTTATTACGGATTATTTAATTCGTTATTACGGATTACTAATTCGTTATAACGGATTATTTAATTCGTTATTACGGATTACTAATTCGTTATTACGGATTATTAATTCGTTATTACGGATTATTAATTCGTTATTACGGATTATTAATTCGTTATTACGGATTATTTAATTCGTTATTACGGATTACTAATTCGTTATAACGGATTATTTAATTCGTTATTACGGATTACTAATTCGTTATTACGGATTATTTAATTCGTTATTACGAATTACTCATACGTTCTGAGTCATTACTCGGCAAGCATGGCACAGGAGTGCAAACGTTGTATGCAAAGATAGCGCCGCCTAGCGGCGCTATATACATAGGCCCCTGGTCACGTGCTCTCCACGTGTGAGAACATCAGACCTTATTCGTAATAACGAATTAATAATCCGTAATAACGAATTAATAATCCGTAATAACGAATTAAATAATCCATAATAACGAATTAATAATCCGTAATAACGAATTAGTAATCCGTAATAACGAATTAATAATCCGTAATAACGAATTAATAATCCGTAATAACGAATTAATAATCCGTAATAACGAATTAATAATCCGTAATAACGAATTAAATAATCCGTTATAACGAATTAATAATCCGTAATAACGAATTACATAATCTGTAACATATATACTTGCAGTGGCGCTAATGGGCTTTCGTAGAAAGGATTACTTGGCACAGAATGTAAGTTTGAATGTATGTTTCGTCTCAGAAACTACAGCACAGTTAGGCCCCCCCCCCCAAAAAAAAGTCGGTCTCTGGTCAGCGCGCGCGTCGATTTTAATCATGCGCGTCAATTTTTTTTTTCTTCCAAAATGTTCCAAAGAGCACCAAGGAATGGGAAATTGCACTAAGGCAAATGATCGAGGACACCAAGGCAAATTATGCAGGACACCAATGTACATGAGGACACCAATGTACATGAGGACACCAATAAAAGCAAAATAGTACCCCACCTTGTCTGTACAATCCAAGCTTGGAAAAAAAGAAAGAAAAAAGCTGCGTCGCCGCATCAGTTCTGGAACTTTGGTCTGACCAGAGACCGAGTATTATTTTTTTTTGGCCTTGGGAATAACATTCATTTTGCCAGTGATATGCACGCTAATTTGTATGATGTTTTTATCAGTCAAATGATTCAAGGTTACGATTCTAGCTGAGGTAGAGTGTCAAGTCACATTCTTGCTCAATACGAGTCACTGCCATTTAAGTATCACATATTCAGACTGGTAAGCTTTCAGTAATTGAAAGTAATTTTATTATCTTTTCAATCCTCATATCTGGCATTGTACAATCTGGTTCCATAATACAAGTCGTGATATGTTAGTTTTGAATTTTTCGCAACCAGAAAGAGAACTTAAGAACTCACATTATAACGATTAATAGTAATAAAATCTTTCCAAAAAATTGCATGATGATACAAAAATTAAAAACTATGTCATAAACCAATGACTGGGGTAATTCTCCTTTTTCATCTTTTTTTTTTGCTACCAAAAAAAAGGAGAATTCAGCTCCTTTTTGGGGGCAGGAAGCCGTACTATGAATGCGCATTATGAGAAAAAAAATACAATGAAATGCCAGTTGAGAGCTACAGTAAATAGAACGTGAACCGACGTGAGACGAGTCATTTGCTTGTGCTTTTGTGGCGTCTTTGAGTTGAGTTGAGTCATCGAAAACTGCAACTTCAGTCGGACTCGAGTCATTAACTCATGTCAGTACAATCCTTGATTTTAATATTTGAAATAATACTCACATACATGTACATGTATATATGCAATTTTCTATTCACATCTGTAAAACGAACAAAATAGAAAAACTAAAGTTACTTTCAGGGAACAACTCACAGAGTCCATTTCCCAATTTACAAACCATAAAATTGATGGAGTTACCACAACGACTGGTCCAGAACTAGTCTTTCGCCAAGGCCATATTGGCTTAGAGCAGCAAAGCTGCAAGCAAGTGGAGCAAAGACCAATTCAGCATGCACGAATTCAGCTTTGCCACTCGCAGTGGTCTCCACTCAAGGTGCTTTGCCTCTCTGTCTAATGCCGGTTAAAGCCACGATAGCCTTGGCGAAAGGCTAGTCCAGAGCTAGTCAGTGACCCATAATTTATCAAACATGTGTTAGAATTATTTTACATGAATTATTGTCTTGAAATTCAGCTGGCAAATTTTATTTCCAGTCAGTAATAACACAAACTGTCCAAAAAGTTGCATTAAGAAAAAGATTGATCAAACCAACTACTATGCCTACACATCAGTAATTTACAAAAGAACTTTAAAATTTGTTTAATAACATCATATTGTTTATACATAAAAGTAACCAAATAAAGCCCGGTTTATACTGCACGCGAAAGCAAGTGCGAAGTGAAATTTGTGTCGTCAACAATGATGAACGTGCTTCGAATGTATTGTTGACGTCAAATATTTCGCTTCACTTTCGCTTTTGCGTAAAGTATGAACTGGGCTTAATGAGGATCTCTACAACCTGCCAAACTAAAACTGTGACATACAAATAGAACTATAAATGTTGCAATAACTTGTTTTCTGAGGGGCATAATTGTGATGAGTATTGAAATGAATTTTATACTGGAGCAAATTTCCAGCAAATATCCATCCCTCTGAAATGTATAAGAACTACGAGACATACCTTTGGGGTAAAAAAAATAATAATAATGTAGGATTCAAGGAACAACAATACAATAAATCTGTAGCAGGTTATTAAAAAAAACCAGCTGAGTAGATGTACTTTTTGGAAGAATGTGAAAATGTATTTCATTTTGCACATACACCATCTGCAGGTTTCTGTTTAATCGTGAGATGATGGTCATTTTTCCATCCTCGAAAATGACAGCATACTTGGGGCAGCAATTTCACAACATGCATGATCCTTTTACATGTATTTACTTTAATACAGTCGATTACAATATTTCATATTTTGACAGTTTCATTTTAAATGTTTGTAAATCGTATCCATGCCTTTAAAGATTGATTGCCTAATTGTATCGCAATGAGAGCTTCAAAAGTTCATGTAATGCGTACAAACACTGGCCCTTCAACAGTCCTGTACAGGAAAATCATCCATCAAATTGAACAAAATATGGAACACCGCATGCCCTACATACCTATATGGGACCTGTGAGGTTTATAATTGTGATCAACAGCAGGTTTAAGTTCTCAAAGATGCTCTCCCCATGCTTGCCTGTCATGGATTTCTTTCTCCTAATGAATTACTTAAGACAACCACCTTTTTGAGGGAAAAAAATAAAAACTAAAAAACTAAAAAAAAATACAATTCCTATTACGAGCAAATATTTCTGACATAGTGACTGACAGACATGCTGCATGCCGAGCCACCTCTGCTGACTATTCTGTATATCAAAGGTGCAGTTCATTTTCAGTTTGGAGTGAGTACCTAAAAGAATTAAATTGATACATTAGCCCAGAAAGCTAACAAAGTAAACATATGACAAGTTAAATTGCCAAAAACATGAGTAGAAAATGTTGTTAGTTTACAAACCACTGTTAACAGATTTTTAGGCCATGAGGACTAGCTGCACATGTACAATGCTTGTTTATGTTGATAAACTGCATATACATGTAACTTGCATAAGCAATTCGTCCACATAAACAGTATAATGCATACAGTATAATGAACATTTATGTATGATGCCAAATAATCATTCCATATTTTATTAAAGATGTATTATTGAAATCATTCCTCTTTTTATAGCATTGTCATCTGGCAATTATTGGTCAAGATGAAGTTAAATGCAACCACCAATTTACCTGTAAACCACTCAATGCAGATAACAAATACATATCTAAACAATAAAACAGAAAACAAATACATCGTATATATCTACAATGTTCCCTGTTTATCTGATTTCAGATAATGGCAAATTTCTCAGGAAAACAGAAGTAAAAATTTAAAATTTACAAACTCACTTTAAAGTTGTGCACACTTTGAAAAAAAGATCACAAAATAATTATCAGAATAGCCAGTAAAAAATAACCGTTTGACCTGCCTATGGTATTTACAGAATTGGTCTATTCGTGTTGCAATGGTGCTTCAAGAACTGAATTATTGTCGGGTCAATGCATTAAGTAATAACTATGTGTTTTTTATTTGATACCTTGTTCAAAAGTGAATAACTTTCTTGCTGCTAGAAATATAGCACTTGAAAGCAAATACCTCAATTTTTTCAGGGTTAAAAGTAAGCACGAGGAGAGCCACATAATGATACCCGACTGTTGTATTTTAAAGCAACGCTTCTTGGTTTTAAGTTAAAAGCTTGATCCCAAGTTCTTCAAATTATTCAACATTGTTGACTGAACAATGTGTTTATAACTAATAAATGTTTGTATATCCATGAAACAGTAACACTTCATGGCAGTCATTTCAATATTTTTTAATTAAAAATATCCCTTAGATTATGCTACATTATTGACACCACATGTATATTAAACATAAAATGAAATTATTTACATTGAAGTTGAGTTATATCAGCTGGATGACGATGATAAGCACTGATACTAAGCAACAAATCTTTATCTGGTTATCTTAACTCACATGCAAACTTTAAAAAATCTTTTGAAAATCAGTCTGGCCAGCAGACTTCAATACTGTTACAGTTCTCAAAGGAAGTCTGATGGTGGAAGATCCTGCATGTCATCCATGCTTGTAAGACTACTCCGTCTGCTACTATGAAGCGATGCCATTGGAGATGACTGACTAAGCAATGGATCTACCCCAATACAAAGTGTACTTTCATCAGCCACATCATCTACACTTGACATACTTGAAGATACAGGCAGTTGTGTCCTTTGACCTTGATTTTGATGACACGCTGCCAGGTTGGTTTGTTCACTGACTCTTTTATGCACTTGCTTACCCTCCTCCATGTTAAGCTCTATGTCCGCACTTTGCAACCGCATGAATTCTGCTGCAATATTTTCTGTCTTAGTTTCCTCACTGAGAGCTGTGGCAGGTACGTTGTATTGCTTGCATTTCATTTCAAGTTCCTGTGTAAGTATAAAATGTGACAAAGGTGTGACCGCATTGTGACGTCATCAGAAATCAGAGTTCCAAAACATGTCATGAAACTTGGTGGGAAGTTAGACAATGTTAATAATATGCAAAAGCCGAAGTGACGTACCAAAAGCCGAAGTGACGTCCCTTTTCAGAATTTACCAATTACCTTTATACATTGTACTTGGCACACACATAGACCAGCACCTGCAGGTGTGTGCTGAGCACTGACGCCATCATGAATCTTTTTAGAATTTCAAAGCCATGGGCTGATTTTTTATGAATTTTGAAATTTTAAGATGATATTCTACGCACAAAAGTTGACGGTCTATGATCAGATCAATTCCAAACTTGGCACACATCAAGATAAATGCCATCATGATGACATTATTATTGGTCATGTGACGTAATCTTTAAGGTGCATATATTAAAGCCCTATATCTACAGAACTACAAATTCGATTGGGTTGAAAATTTGTATGTACGAGATAGAGACGTATTTTTATTTTTGAAAATTTTAATCTTTTCAGAATTTCGAAGCCTTCACTTTATCTAGCAAACAAAATATGCTCAATTCATACTCTTTTTTTTTTTTTACATGTTTCGGGGAGGGGGGGGGGGGGATCATGCTCCTTGTGAAAAAAGTCAGGCTCTTGTGAGTCATAAAAATGTACTTTAAAGTTTGTTCGTACATGTACATGAAATTGATCATCAAAGCCCTATGTACTGTTTAGAGACCTCTACATGTAGTTGGCTGTTTCGGCACCTTGCTGAAACAGCCTTATTTTTTGGTAAAGATTGTTGGCTGGTTCAGCAATGTGCCAATTACCTTTATATTTGGCACACATATAGACCAGCACCTGCAGGTGTGTGCTGAACACTGACGTCATCATGACATCATCATGTGTCAAGTGACGTCACATTAAACTGAGGTGCAGTTTTCTAAAGATCTACAGAACTACAGGTCCGATTGGGTTGAACCTTGGTACATGTACATGTACCTAGACCGGGATGTGCTGTAGATGAAAATTGAAGTGATGTCATGATGATATCATGTACCATATGAAGTTACATTAATATTAAAGGTCTGGACAACTAGCACCGGATGATTTAGAAGAGTGAGGATTAATGGCGGATGAAGAAGTGGATGATTCTGGGGGATTGAGGATGAATGCATTTTGAGAGACGGGACTGTCAAGGATTATGAATGATTGAGGCAGTGGGGTATCCTTCATTTGAATATAAATGTAAGCGCACAATTTTGGAAGATTTTGAGCATTATAGTTGGTTCCTAGCAAAAAAAGCCTAGGGGGTTAAGGATAGGTGCATATTTTAAAGGCCTATATCTACAGAACAACATGTCCGATCAGGTTAATACTTGGTACGGTCTGTACTGGATGAAATTATAGAGGAAAATTGAAGTGACGTCATGTTGACGTCACCATTTGTCATTTGACATCACATTAAAGGTGCATTTTTCTAAGGCCTCTATTTAAAAAACTATTGGTCCGATATGGATGTAACTTGGAATGTAACCAGACTGGGAAAGTGTTATAGATGAAATTGATTTGAAGTGACATCATGACATCACGTGTCATGGGCTGTCACATTAGGCCTGTTTGTTTACGGTTTTGACTGGAACCGGTACCCTTTCCCAGTCAAGGTCGGGTACCCGGGTACCCGTAAAAGCCCTCCCCCCCAAAAAAAAAAAACCCCGAAAGTAAGTGTTTTCATTTATAATGCCAACCCGGAAGTAAGTGCTTTCGTTTCTAAACACCCCATTGTGTTCTATAATGCTTTCTGTGCAGGTATACCGATTTGCAAAAGGTTGATTTGTCAGTAAAAAATAGGAATTGCAAATTCAATGTCTATTATATACAGCACCTGAGTTTATGAAATAAAAGAAACGTAAGGTGATTAATAAAGAGTTTAAAGACATCGATGACAAAGTCAGCGAACTTCCAAGAGCTCCCCGCTGTGTATTCTTCAGTGAGTCCATCCAGCCATCACCTCAGCCCAGGTGGCCCACACTGACTGCAGCGCTGGTTGTAGCATGCATGCAGCGCGCGCAGCATGGTTGGCTTACTCGGCTAGGCATGCGTACGACGACCGGCACGGCAGTCAGTACTATAAACGGTAAGTTGAAAGCACGTGCACAAATGGTGTCGTGCTTTATCATAGGGACCCCACGCATGTGTGCTGTACTACGCTAATCGCTAGTCAAGTTGCACTTCTTACATGCGTTGTGACTGGCCAGTTCCGCAGAAAATATTGGCGCGCAGGTTTTTTTTTATTATATCATTTGTTGTTAAATGTGTATTTTTTATCTACACTTTGTTCGATCATAGGAAATTATAAAAGCCCTTAAAACTTTCTCAGGCTTTGAGACATCGTACAAACTAAAAACCGCAAGATGGAGGTTTTTGAATGGTTGGTAATTCACTTTGAACTTTGTAAATCTTAGGTTACGGACTTGTTACGGGTGTACTACCCGCCATCTGCGGCGCATCAGAGAAGATGATTTCCTGGCTAGCGGCTACAAGAAGCTTTATTACAAACACAAACAATGGGTTGATACTATCGTGTTTCGCCACCTTCGGGCTTCTGGAGACGCATCAAAGATAGTCTCAATAAAACTGAAAACAAAATATAAACCGCAAAATGGAGTTTTGGAATCGTCGGTAAACTCACCCTGAACTTTGTAAATCTTCTGTAAGTGATATTTGAATGAAGGTCCTTGTGGTTTTTTTGTCTCGGGCGTTGCGTCGAAATTTATAAATTCGGTTACGGGTACCCGACCCGATAAAATGGAACCGGTTCTTGGTCTCCGCGGGCGAGTACCTGGGTACCCACAACAGGTTTGACGCCCCATCCCAATATAATATAGTTTGCACACATTCCAATATCTGCAGAGCTATACATCCTTCCTGGATGGAACCTCTTTTTGTAACTGTAGGGGAGATGGGGGTTAGTTGGAACACGGGGTTAGTTGAAACAATGAATTTTTCTTGATCATCTTAATTAAATTTTATAAAATGTTGCCCTCAAGCGATGTCCCTTAGCAACAGCCATCCACCATATTGCCTGCAGCCACACTGCAACAATAGTGCTCAAGTGGGAAAGATAAGTTTGTTTTTTCACCTTTTGAGTAATTTTTTCACCATTCAAAAAATGTGTACTTTCTTAATGATGTTTATAGATAACAGTGACTAGTTTGGGGGTATTATATGCTCGAGTACTAAGCTACAAAATAAGGTTAAAAAGATATGTTATTGGAGCCCCTGTTTTGTAGAGTGAGCAAACAAATGTCACATGGGCCACTGGGGCTAGTTGGAACATTTTGATGGGGGCTAGTTGGAACATAATGATGATAATTGAGGAAATATTCTGACTTAGCAAACAATTTTGAAAGCACATAGACAGGTCACGTTGACCTTACCTCAATTTTATGCAAGCTTTTCATGTTATTTTTGGGAGTTAAATTTCCCATTTTGATGTTTTCTTTTTATGATCAGGCTTGTAGCTGACTCTTGCCTCGCAATTTTCCTGTGTTTTTTTGTCTTGGTGCTGTTTGTGCCATTTCTTGCCAGTTTGTTAATTAAAAAAAATGTTAGGAGCATCACCAGTGCTTGGAACAATTATTTTATTTGAAACTCAAATATAAATGCAGTTTTTAAGTAATTGTAGTATACTTTCAGATTAACAGCATACCAAGTTCCAACTTACCCCATACCATGTTCCAACTAACCCCATAGGAGGGGTTAGTTGGAACGCATGTCATAGTTGTGATCAAGATGGATTTTTAAAATAACCATCAACAATTCTGAGAAGTTTATATGCTACATTTGCAACACACATGTGTATGAATAAATTGGCATAGTTGTTGTTTCTTGAAGAAAACCTGTTTGTGTTATGGATAGGTTTTTGTGAAAATCGTTCCAACTAACCCCCGTCTCCCCTACATGCCAGATGTCACCAAAACAACTGCTGAAACAGCCCTGTGTTTGTCCACAAACAAAAGTCAAGTTGTTTGGTTTTATTGAAAAGTTAAACAAAGAAATTGACTGGAGCAGGTCAAGACATAAATTCACGGTTTAAAAAAGGAAATTCAAGCTTCGATATCACTAATTAAAATTTTCAAGGTTCCATTATTATTATCAATATTATTATCTTTACAAGATCTGGTACCGACGTCTCTACCAATCAGATGAGTCCCCATATCCTATGCAATCAGTGTGCGACCAGATTCTTACAACTCTAACCGCTGATCTGGAAAATGCTGGGTATCACCGTCAGTGTCGTCAGCGCTTTACTGACAACAGCAATCTCCATTTTCTATTTTCCTCCAAGACAAAAAGACTTCATCTCGCTCAGTTTTGCAATCTACATCTTTGACCTCTAATCTGTCACACAACATGCAAAACGTGTGGAGATGAGTGCAGTAAAACCTGCTGAAGACAATTGACGTGGGGAGTGATGCCATTGTGAGGTTGATGCTTCTAGTTCTGTATCATCTCCTAGAAGATTGAGGTTGCTAGTAAAGTGATGATACATAAAGGGGTAATATCCTTACTTTCCAAGTCATCCGGGAAAGTTGTAAGAATCCGGTCGCACACTGATTGCATACGATATGGGGACTCATGTTATTGATGGAGACTTGATCCTGGATCTTATGAAGCTGCTGTAGTTTTTCAATACAGTTTCTTTTGATCACAGAAATGGATAGCACATTAAGGTTGCATGTAGGTGGAGAGTGTATGGGGTTGCAGGATCTGCGCTCTTATTACAATTTCTTTTGCCTACTGCTTATCTGGAATGGAAAAAAGGATGGGAAAGGGAGAGAAGATAAATTTGCAAATGTATTGCCCTCAAAAACCCCTCTGTCAACATATCTCCAATATTGGAGATATCCAATCCAATTCCCTAAAAATCCAATTTCCGATAAACCAGCACTTTAGAATTTACATATTTACATGCCAAGGACACGCGTACCGGTAGTTACTTCAGGAATGGTCTTAAAGTGGTCCCTGATCCTCAAAACATGGGTCTTGACACCTTACTTGTGCAGTTATGTGCAATAGTGGCCGATGATGCCAAATAACATGATTTTCGGTAATGGTGGCACTAATTTGCATACTCCTATACCATAGACACATGTGGTCACTCCCAAAATAGTTTAATGGTGATCTTTGACCCTAAAACATGGGTTTTAGACACCTTATTTGTTCAGTTAGCTGCAATATTGGCTGAGATATAGTAAAAAAAATAGGGGTGTTTTTCGGAAATAGCGGCACTAATTTGCATAAAAATTAAAACGTGGGACATTTTGTAATTTTTTTTTTTCACATAGCAAATAGTTTTCTACTTATTTTTTTCTGACCTAGAGACATTGTTGGCTGTTTCGGCAACCAGCCGAAACAGCCTTTGTTTTTCGTTAAGATTCTTATTATTTTTTTCTTTTCTTTTTCTTTTTCAGTCATTTTGCCCATAGCATTTGTACACGTTTTTTTGTCCAAGGCACTTTGGGCACTAAAATCAATCCGATTGCCTTTATACTTGGCACACACTTACACATGTAGACCAGCATCTGAAGATGTGCCCCGAACATTGACGTCATCGTGACGTCATCATGAGTCACGTGACGTCACATCATATGCGATTTTTCTGTTGTGACCATTTTCTAGCAGAATTCGGCTAGATCTGACAGATTGGGCTATATCTCCAGAACTACATGTCCGATTGGGTTGAAAGTTGGTATGTACCTAGACCGGGATGAGTTAAAGATGAAAATTGAAGTGACGTCACGATGACATCATCCTGGGTCACGTGACGTCACGTTTAAGATTAATAGATCTTTGAAAATCAATATAAAATCAACCGTGAGAGACCTGAACTTGACGTTTGCGGGAATCGATAGAATAATCGAGGGTCTTCATTTTTTATATTATGTGCAAAATCACGTGGCCCTTCCTTCCGGTTGAAACCGGAAGTGCCTTGTAATTTAAAATTGGTGAAAGATGTGAACTTGCTTTCAACGATGTATGCTATGGCTTAGTTGTTATTTACAAACAAAAATATAGTTATAGATGAAAATTGATGTGACGTCATCATGACGTCATCACGTCACATGTGACATCATAATTCAAAGCCCTATGGGAATGTAATCACATATTATATGCCACCAGTTATTATCAACAGAAATACACATCCTTCCTGAATGGAACTTATACTTGAAACCTTACATGTCACAAAAAAAATCCGAAACAGCCCTGTGTTTGTCCACAAACATAAGTCTAGTTTAGAAATTGATTTCCAAGGCTGCACAATGATGAAATGTTGACCTTAAAAGGCTCTGTAATATTTACAGTATACAAATAATGAATGTTTGTGAGTGCAATGGTAAGAATAATTTCATGAGGTGACAGATGAAATGTTCCATTCCACGAGGCGAAGCCGAGTGGAATGGAACATTTCATCTGTCACCGAATTGCACCATTGCACGAACGTGAAACATTCATTATTTGTTTTATATAACACCTGAATAAATCCTTGTCATCTGATTGGTTGACTTTTAATAGCCAATTTATTTAGGTTAAAAACTGTTTAAAAGTTTGACAAGTTCATCGTATTTATATTAATGCAAACTGTTCAACAGGTTGAGAACAATCATTTTCAATTTATCTCGATTTAAAACAGCGCCACCACCAGCAGCAGTGACACCGTGCAATGGAAGTTCTATTCACCGTGCAATAGAACTTCCATTGCACTGTGCACTGCGTGCCACGCGCACACCGTGCGTTGGTACGAATAATTCAATGACATGTGATCAACGATCCACCAATCAGATGACGGGGATTTATTCAGGTGTTGTATAAAAAGGTATATGGCACCAATATGTCATCTACAATTAAAACAAGATGGTTCTCAAACCATGCGACTCGCCTGCTTTCTCGATTATCTCTAAAGAGTGACTAATCAGCATGAAGGTTGCCATGTTGCCGCTATATGACCCAAGTTTAGTTCCAGCCTATTTTAAAGTGTGACCTCAGATGACCTTTGACCTTGGTGTGTGACCTTTGACTTCATTATCATATGTAGCTTCCCATGTTGCATCTATGACCAAGTTTGGTTCAAATTGGGCTTAATCTTTTGAAATGAGACCAATTTTATATGTTCGACCTACTTTACAACTTGATCCCAGATGATCTTTGACCTTGGCATGTGACCTTTGACATCATTATCATATGAAGGTTGCCTTGTTGCATCTACGATTCAAGTTTGGTTTCAATTGGACTTAAACTGTGGAAATTAGGCAAATTTTACGAAACATTTAAGTACAAAACTTACCACAGACATACATACCGTACATACTATTTAAATACATACATACACGCGCATACATACATACTATATACGGACAGACAAAATGATTGCATAGTCTCTTTCCTGAACAAAATTCAGGCAAGACATAAAAAGCATAGACATAGATCTACTCATTGACATCTATCTATACATACCTGAATCCTAAGCATCATCCGTCGATTTACAGTCTGGAGTCTCTTCTGGTGATCCTCTGCAGTCTTGAATTTGGATTGTTCTTTCTGTAGTTTCAAGATGTAGTCCACAGAGCACTTTAAAATAGTTCCTTTGTTTTGCCTTTGGTCACTAAAAGAGAAGTTAGGAGAACTGTTAAGTTCCTGAAAAAAAAAATCAGTTTAAAGTGTGAATAAAATAAAATAATTCCATATCTACAGTAAAATGCTCTCAAAGTGCAAAATGGAACTAAAGATACCCATCCTGTCCTCTACAAGTATGGCGAAACAACGTTGCACGTAGAACACTGATTGTATTGGCTGTTGTACATGTATTCAGATCACATAATTTTATTGTGCTATAATTTGTAATTTAATGTTTTTATCCATCCTGTTATTGGCGCTTGCGGTGTTGGATGTGGCTGAAATAAAATAAAAAATAAAAAATAAAAATACTCCATGTAACGGGTACATGGCTCAAATGTCCTTTCATTTTACAAGTCACTATCAGCAGAATATAGTGTTTCATTTGAATTGAATTTTCTTATAAAAATTTGGATAATTTTGTTAAAAATATAGAAATATGTGGTGCTGAAAATTGGGTTTCTGTACACACCTTACAGAACAAGTGAGTTTGGTTTGGTTCAGAAAAGCCATGTTCAGCGGGTTACTGCTTGACGGAACAAGGGGTCAATAGTCCCAAGGTGAGTTAGTCCCAAGGTTCAATAGTCCCAAGGTCCATTAGTCCTAAGGTCCCATTAGTCTGAAATCGACAATACGGTTCCACAGTCCGAATCAGTGGCACAAATCTGCGCCAGGGACTGGGGAGGATGGGTGATGACTACAATCCAAAAATTGCAAAGCTGACTTGTGTTGTCAAAACCAAGAGATACGGTTGTTACACTGATGCTACAATAGTAACATACTTTGTGTAAATGCTGTGCAGCTACATGTACATCAAGTTTACTGAAATTGAAATGCTTTGCATGGCATAATTTATGCGCCGTGTTCACTGATTTGTGAAATCGGCTGCCAAGGTATCTGAGACCTGTATTTTTTATACAAACAGTTCAGCTCTGTCAAGGAGTTACAAAGACTGCAATAATTCACATTTCCTGCACAACAATCTGACAACTGTTGGTAATATTGGGTTTATACAATATTGATTCAGTTGCTTAATGGATTTCACTTACGGGTCTATGTTCTTTGGAATGAGAGTTCCAAGCTCTTTAATACGGTCATTGATATTGAAACGTCTTCTCCGCTCAACTGCATTTTGATAAAAAAAGAGAAAAAAATACATGGTGAGGTCATAAGTCCCAAAATGTTATCCAACCAAAAGTATTTCTATTTGTGAAGCATGCAACTCATTAATCTCAAAAAGGGGAACATTTTCAGCATTAAAAAACTAATTAAAAGAAAACATCCCCATTATTCATAGTTTTAAGACAAGAAATAGACAGATTTACATGAAGGTTCAAAGGTTTCATGAGGATGGTTATACTGCAGTTCTTTTAGACGAGGCTATATTTCAAAAATTGTTACATGAAGAGGCATTTTTGAGTAGAGGTTGATAACATAGCTATTTTACCTAATTTTGGGATGCTGAATCCGAAAATGATGGTTACCAAGCTGGATTTTTAGTGTACATGTAAATATGCATAATTTGCATAAATCTTTAACAATTGTCGTGTAATATAATTGTTCCCATATTTAGGTATATTTTTTTTATTTTGTTATTTTTTGAAAAGTGTATTTTGGTGATTCTACTTACACTTCCTGACTTCAATAACATTTTCCAAAGCATACAAGTGACTGGATAATTATGAGGACATAGTAACGATCCAATTGGCTACTATTATACCCTAAAGTTGCGTGCATTTACCTTGTCTCCTTATATCATCCAGTAGTCTTGCCAAACCTCAGTATCAATGAATTTCAAATTCACCATGTTGCTTACTGGTACAGTTACCCTATTAACAACCTTATGGGATATCATGTGAACAAAGATAACATTGTGATATAACACGGGGAGAAAACGGAGTGGCGAAATTGGGCTAAAAAGTAGTTGAAGGGTTGCCTAACGTGGGAGACTTGGACAAGTTCAAGGAAATTTCCAAAAATTATTGGTAAGAAAACGTTTTGACATTGACATAATTATTGTAAGCATCAATAATCTTTAATTTTGGGGATTTCCATGAAGTTGTTCAAGTCCGCCACGTTAGGCAAACCTTTGCCTAATTTTTAGCCCAATTTTCTCACCTCATTTCCCCCTGTTTTCCTTTTTGGCCTAAATATCAAGATGTTATCATTTTTGACATAATGTCCCATTTATTTTTGCTAGGGCAACAATGCTAGTAAGTAACTTTGTGAATTTGAAGCTCATCAATACTGACATTTGGCGAGACTACTTGAAGATATTTGAGGAAAAGTAAATGTGCGCAACCTTAGGGTATAATAGTAGCCATTTTGGATTGTTTCTATGCCCTCATACTTATTCAGTCACTTGTATGCTATAGAAAATGTAATTGAAGTAAGGAAGTGTAAGTATAATCACCAAAATAAACTTTTCAAAAAATTAAATAACACAAAATATACCCAAATATGGGAACAAATATATTACACGACAGGTATTAAAGATTTATGCAAATTAGGCATATTTTCAATATAAAATCCAGCTTGGTAACCATCATTTTTGGATTAAGCACCCCCGAATCAGGTAAAATAGCTACAGTATGTTACCAACTTCAACTAAAAAAAATGCCTTTTGTTGCCCTAAAATGAGCCTTTTTTAAAAATATCGCCTAGACTATTTACAGGAATCAGGATTCTTGTACAATCCTTTTGTACCATTATCACTCACACTTTTTTGTGGGTCAAACAAGAAAAAAAGAAGCAAAATACATGTATGTCAATAAGACAACATGTGTACTTACTCATATTGTGGTTGTCTTTCTTCTGCCTTTCTTTAGCAAAGGCCCGAACATGATCTTCTGAAATTGGTTCTTGTTTTATTTTGTTGAGGTCAGCAGGACATGAGACAGACTGAGTAGGAACTGCCACTGGCGTCATACCACCATTAGGGCTCAACTGGTCTAGGTATGTATGTACCGGCATCTGAACACATTTTTTAAAAAGTCAGGTAAAATAGGAAAAGATAGAGTTATTAGAGATTAACCCTAACTCCCTAGAGGGTGTGCAAAATCATAGTAAAATTGGTGGATTCAGGACTGTCAGGGATATAGTTTTTTACGTACACGTACATGTATGTATGTACTTGTTACAAGGAAGAGTTTTGCCAGTTGTTAATGTAGTCTGCCATAGAAATATCCTAAGCTAGAAGAAACCTTAACCGAGACGGAAGATTGAGAACTGCATCACCACATTTGTGGAGCAAATAGAATTCTTCAGCAAGAAAATATGCACAGGGTATCATAATAGAATGCGAACTAAACTTTGAGATATTCTCTCAAAATGTTTAAAACATCAATATTGTAACTAATTTGAAATTCCTGATATCAATAGAGAATTTCACTGATATGATTTCAAGGGGGTTGAAGGTTGCATAGGCTCAAGACTTTGGACCAAAATGTGCACAAATAAACTTCTTTTGTAAAAGACTGTTAACTTCTTACCGTTGCTGGCACCATACCAGACTCTTGAAAGTACTGAGTCAGAGCATCCTCCCCTATACTTGATTCCAAACTTATCACTTCATCTAAAATGTCATCCACCTTCAACAAAGAGATATGAATATTGGAACATTTACACGTCGTGTACCGTTACTTGTCCCTTGTGCAAGGTAAATCCACACATGTATTGGACAAAGATGTATATAAGTGTTGCAATAGGTCAGAAAGTATCTGGAATATTCAGAAACTTTCCACGAAAAATTGGGGAATTATGAGGGATTGGGGAATCATAATATGTCAGAAATTTTGAGAATATTCAGAAATGTTCATATGTAGCTAAAAATTGTATGGCAAAATAAAAACTAGTTCTGCTACCCTAAATTTTTTTTTTTGGGGGGGGGGGGAAATGAGGAAAAAACCCAAAACCATCCATTACTACCTTGTACCCTTTACTACACGCAGAGACCTTCATATGATCGTAAACACACAAATTTCCCAAGACAAATTATTCCCTATACCTCCCTACCCTATTTTCAAATGCCATGTAATCGGAAGCAGAAGTGGTTTTTTTCCCTTACTTTTAAATGATTTGTACTTTTTTTATAAGTACATGTATTAACTTTCATAATATACACTTTCAATATAAATGGAAGAGCCTTAATATACATACTTGAAGCTACCTGGCCTGAAGCATCCAGATGCAACCAACATGTACGTACATTGTATGCGTATACTATGCACAACTGCACATGATGTTTACTGGGCAAGATGTGTAAGATGTAGGCCTAATAAGATGTTAATGGAGATTTTTGTCAGCAAATCTTGCTACATGCTCTGGGGACGAGCCTTAACACCCTAGGGGGTGTGCAAAATCATATTAGAATTGGAGCATTCAGGACTGTTAGGGTTACTCCAATTTTAAGGTCAGCCATGTATCTGGGGCATACACCAACACTTCAGTTGCAACTGGCCATGTTGATAACTAAGGCCTTATATGAATGGTCTTGCAGGAACACAGTGTGGAATACTCAGGGATTTTGGGACAAGCTTAGCATGACTGATTTTATTGTACATATATTTGAAAGCACCTGAAGTTAATGTACCTCTTGAGTTGTTGACATAGGGCTGTTGGGTAGACTAGACATTGAGCCACTTGGCTTACGAGATGGTGAGTTAGATGATGGACTCGGGTTTAGCAGGTGAGGAGACATCCTTGTTTGTGATGCAGAGGCAGAAAGATACTGCTCCACTTGCCGTTTTTGAGATTGCTGGATGTAATATCTTGTAGGGTTCTCAAGCTTGGTGGTCACCTAAAAACATTAACATACAAGAAAACAACTTTATATACACGTGTGAAGGCAATGAATCATTGCTGTTATCTAAACTGTGAATGCATACATCAACTAAGGAATGCTTGCATGTGTGTATCAATAATACATCATCATACAGCAATTTTAATCCTTTTGTGACTGACATATCTGATAGATGCCTTAATTCATTGTGTTACACCTGTACTTATGCCATTCATAACATTTCTCACAACCCAGCCTCAGGCAAAGCTGTGCAATGTAAATGATGTATTTCATGATAAACATGTAAATTGGAAATGCGGCTGGGCATGGATAAAGAATGATCATAGCTATTTGTGTAAACTTACTAGAAAAAAAGGTTGTTGAATTTACTTCAGCCGCCATTTTGAAAAAAAAGTTTTGTCCAACTTTTTGGAATTGGGATAACATTCAGCATTCCATTTTAACAGCCTTGGTCAAGGCTTTCATCATTATGCGTCCATATGGTATTCATATTTGGAATCAGTCATTTTCTTATTGGTCGATCATTGCATGGAAACGATAACGATAACACAGCACTTATGCACACAAAAAATGGTTTCTGAAACGTCTGCAAAAAGGCGATACAATGTAGCTGCAAATAATTTGATGACGTCGAGATTTACAAAGTTGTGATTAGAAATCTAGAGCAGGGTTCGAAATTAGCATTTTTCCTTTTCAAGGGGCCCTGAAGCGCCACCAGGGGTAAACTTTTAGGCTCTATACACATTTTACATGTACATGTATGCACATTGTTGTTTGGACCAAGGCGTTCAATCGGATCCAAATGATTTGCATAAAGTGGCCGCATGAGGTCGCTGTTCCGCACTGTACTTTTACGTCAAGCGTCAGTCGTTGTCAAGAAAAGCCAATCCGATTACGTACTAAGACGCTGTAACAGAGCATTAAAATTTGTGAACCCCAAAAACATGGCCTTTGAACGTTGTGTTTCTCAGTAAAATATGCTCAGTATGATTAAAATGTTACATAACATGAAGAAGAAATTCTAAGCTGCATGTCAGTGAAAAAAATCGCCGTCATCAATGCTGAAATGTCAATACTGGTTACTGTCAAAGCTCTGGAAGAAATCGTTAGAAAGCTTCCCCAAATGTATATATTTATCCAAATTTCTAGGAATTTACCCAAGTTGTTATTTCAGGAGTAGTTGAACACTTACTTAATCTGAGTATATTCCGAATTTCAGCTTAATCTGTTGTTGCGGACGCTAGTGTTACACCTGGAACCATCGCCAAGGAAAATTTCGTAGGCGCTACGGCTGACCGATTTCGACCCGGCACACAATGAGGAAGGGCATATTAACATATTCACTAGCGTCACTCGGCGTGGCATGGCATGGGTCTTGGTATCGACCGATGGAAGCCAGCAAAAAGGGTGATATTTGTTAATTAACAACTCATGAAGGAGGCTTTTCTGCAATCGTTTACTGCACACCATAATGGATAGGAATCTTATTAATATTCGTGAGGCTTGAAAAGATATTGCGGAAGCCAGGCCTATTTTTCCAATTTCAACAAAAAGTAATGAACAAATCACCACGATTTTTAGCACATACGTGGATCATTATAGGGGAAATAAATCCTGAAAGTTGCATGTAGATACGGTCTTCCAAACGGGAATAATAAATTTTCAAAGATTTAACCCGCCAACGTGAACATATCTGTGTACATGTAGTTTCATTCAAAATAAAGTGTTACGTAACCTTTACAAATTGCCCTTCGCAACCATATGTTGCAGCCTTGTTGTCTAGCAACTTGAGCACCAAATAATTTTATGAAAATCTGCATATTGTGGATTTAAATCTATGAATTGCTTCTGCCAATAAGTCTGCCAACCCCCCCCCCCCCCCCCCCCGGCATGCTGGCAGTATTTATACAGTCGGTTTGTAAGCACACTTTTCAGTTTACCTGACCAAAATCAGGAATGACCTCATTTGACCCCCAGATAATCTTTGATCTGAAATGTCTGAAGCCATCTGAATTAAGTCCCCCTACCCAAAGATTGTCACCAAGCTTGGTCAACATTGAAGTCTTAACATTTTTATGACAGCACTTTTCAGTTGACAAACCAAAATCAACAATGACGCCATTTGACTGCCAGATGACCTTTGACCTCAAATGTCTCAAGTCATCTTAAGTCCCCCGCCCGAAGATTATTGTCACCAAGTTGGTCGAGATTGAAGTCTTATTTTTCATATGACAGCAATAAACAGTTAACCTAAATCAAATATAACAAACATGCACACATACATACATGTACATGTACATACATGTACGGACATACAAACTTCATTCTTATAGTTGCGGGGACATGAACACTCGTCTGAACGAGGTATATGTGGGGACTGAAAAAGCTGTGGGAACAGCAGGAAGTCCCCATAACTCGGTCCTACTTTGCCTAACAATAAAAAACATTTCCCAATAACGCGGTGAAGGCCTACCCACACATACAGACATACAATGTACACATTAGGAATACGCTATCACAATATAAAACCCTTCTGGCTTCAAAGCAAGGGGGATAGAAATGGGTACCAGTCAGGGCAGAGATGGTTAAATGTGTTTGATACAGTATTTTAGGTTATTCAAATATAAAAGTACTCTGATCTTATTCAAATCAATAATTCAACACAGTTTACCCATTCCTATTTGTCGAGAGCCCGTCATGTAGCCGGTCTTAAAATAAAAGGTCTTATTTTATCATGAAAGTGTCAAACAATTACGGTAACTTAGGCCTTCTGTCTTATTTCTCTCCCCGTTTCATGGTAAAAGCATGCCTGAAAACAACGTTAGCAATACAGGTCAGTTTGATATTTAAAAATCTTGGGTTGGTTTATTTTTCGGGAAGGGGGATGCAATGTCACACTCCCTTCACCATTGCTATATGACGTCACACTATAGTCGTGTTCCCTAACGTGGCGCACTTCGAAGCTTACCCAAATTTCCTCGAGTAGTGTTGCCAAACCTCTTTGTTGACAAACCTCAAATTCATGCAGTGAAATACTGGTACTTTTACCTTATTAATGCTTGCTGTTTAACCTCTGTGAACAATTTCAGTTTCATAAAATTTAAGCCGAAATTAAAAAACGGTGGCGTCCGGAAATTGGGCACAATTTGGCGGAGTGTTCCCTAACGTGGCGCACTTAAATAAATCTCGAAAAATTCCAAATTAACATTTAAGAATTTCTGAAAACTTGATAAATTCTGATAAATCATTATTATCTCTACTTACATACCCAGCCAGATGTTTGTCACAAAATTATTTTCTTATTTTTCGGGGCATTTTCAAAGGGTTCACTTTGCACTTGAAAATAAAATCAGAAAATCACTCCAAAATCTTTTTTTCTTTTAACTTTGTAGCGGGTAAATAAACTCGCGATTTATGAACGGGATTGTTTATAACTTGATGAAAGTTCACTTTCTGTGAAATTTCAGTTAAAACTTTTGCTCTAGCTAGGCGCTACAGGCGAAAAATCAAAGTGCGCCACGTTAGGGGCCGCGCCACGTTAGGGTACATCAACAATATTGTTATAAGTGTGGAATTGGAACTACGAACCTGTTACACTGGCCACAAAGTGTGGATTCGGAATGACGAATCTTGAGTAAAGTGTGGATTCGGAATTACGAATCCACACTTTGAATATGTCAGACATTTTTTCTTGATACTGAGCATAATAATAGGACTGTGTGCGTCAAAACTTTCCTTCCGAAAATTACCAATGCATCTTCACTGTCAAATTCTCTGCCGTCACTGCAAAAACTACAGCAAGTCAGAAAAATCGTCGTCTGAACTACCGGTATCCATGTTGATGGAAGGAGCCTACACACAAAATGAGTTGGTTGTACGCGTGTGGCGATTCACATGCTAAACACGCCACAATGTTTGATTACTCCCTTGTAAATACCCTAATGGCCATGAATCAACACGAGATATGCAAGTCTTTTCATCTCCAAGTCGAAGAATACACTCGCAAGTGTGGTTTCTAAATTTACAAATTCACTCGGCGCTTCGCGCCATGTGAATTCTTAAGTTAGGAATCCACACTTTCTCGTGTATTCTCCTTAACAGAAATGGCCCCAGACATGGATTTAGGTCGCCAAGTAACAACGGTTAGAAGTCAGCAGGCGTAGTTTCGAGATGCTTTTGAACACTTCTCCAAAAAGCCCTTTTGACTAATTTCCTGGCAAGTGAAGCGGGACCATACAAGCTGAAGACACACAAATTCATACCCCAGTGGGTCAAGTCCATGAATATACATAACCCTGCTGTCTTCTTGGTGGATGTCACGAATGATGGTGTTTGGGGATCTTTTCACACTGATGGCAACACCGTACATTTGTTTTTGCTTGTTTCCTGACCAGTGCCAATCATAGATGATGGGTTTCTCTCCGATTTTCTCTGCGTTAACTGACAGATTGCCAGTTTTTAACCTTCTGAATTCTTGTACTGCCACGATGTCAATTTTGTGGTCAGCACATAGGCGCGTGAGAGTAAGTGTCATCAGTGCAAGTTCAACGTTGCAGGAGCCGGTATACCAATACACTTTTCCCTTGGAACTATGCGCCTTTGCATGCAGGGGATTGTAGGTATTTTTCAGATCGTACATTTTGGTCTCGCGTGTCTGTACAGTTTCAATGTTCCTGTTCTGTGCTTGTAACCTTTGGACTGAAATTGCCTTCCACCGCTGTGACCCGAGTTTGAATCCCACCTGAGCCAATATGTGGATTGGGTTTTCAGTCCCTACCTGATTCCGTGGGTTTTCCCCAGAATATTTTTCTGGGCTTTTCCTCCCACCTCACTGTAATTTCTCCTGCTTTTTAGTAGCAGGAGGTCGTGGGTTCGAGTCCCACCGGAGTGATTTTTTCCAACTTTTACTCGGGAGGTAACACACTGAGTACACGATGTTAATACAACGGTGATGGGCAAAACCGAATTTGATTTACATCAGCCCGACCCAAAATTCC